TTGAAGTTTTATTCCTGATTTTATCTTGATATACAGAATAATAGGAATCCAGTTTGTTTATTAGTCCAGGTCACTTTTGGTAGTTTTAGTGCTGTTTACTCAGTAATTTGTCTATTGTAAGAATTTTATGGGCAAATTAGTTCTGTTTTATGAAAATGCTTATTATGGATCCATGCCTATGCTAACAAAAATAAATTTCAAATAGCTCTGAGTTCAACTAAAAAAAAAGAACAAGATATTATAGTAAAAAAAGAATTAAAAAAAGAAATTATTAATTGCTTATTTATTCCAGATTTTTAAAGAGAAAATTTGAATCATAAACACGTGATATCTTTTCATTTATTTAGTCTTTTGTTTCTTTGAACAGTATGTTTTAGTTTTTCAGAGTATACACTTTATCTTTTCTGAAATATATTGCTAAGTTCTTTTGTTCTTTTTGATACTATTATTTTTCTTTGGGGATTGTTCAGTATTAGATGGTAGAATATCATTGATTTTTATATATTGATCTTGTATACTGAAACTTGCTGAACTTGACTCTAATAGTTTCTCAGTGGAGTCTTTAGGATTTTCTATATCCCAGATCTTGTCATCTTTAAATAGACATGGTTTTATTTGTTCCTTTCTGATTTGGATGTCTTTTCTTTCTCATGCCTGATTGCTCTATGTAGAACGGCCAACATATAATACATAAAAGTAGCAGGAGCAGGAATCCTTTTCTCATTCCTATTTTCACAGGGAAAACATCAGTCTTTTATCAGATATGATGTTAGCTTGGGTGTCTTCGTAGGTGTCCTTTATTAGATTGAGAACACCCACTTTTGTGAGGGATTGTTATTAATTCTTTAAGTGTTTGGTAGAATTGACCAGTGATGCATTGTGGATGTGGGCTGTTTTTTTGCAGTTAGAACTTAAGTTGCTCATTTAATTCTTTACTTCTAATAGGTCTATTCACATTTTCTATTTCTTCATGAATAAGTTGTAGTAGCTTATATTTTCCTCTTCAGTTGTCCAGTTTATTAGCACAGAATCATTCATAGTGTTCTCATAATTCTTTGTTCTGTAAGGTCAGCAAAAATGTCTGCAGGGAGGTGTATGCATAAGTAAATAAATCTTAAATAAATAAAAACATGACATGTAGCCATACAAACATCTGCATGTAGTTCTCTATAACTTGGGTCTTGAGGCATAAGGGTTACAAGAAGTGAAACCAGAAAAATTGGCAGACAGCGGGTAAGAACATCTTTGAGGTAACCTTGATTTACAACACTGTATAAATATTAGGAGTATAGCTCAACAAATATATCACACCATGCTCATTGAAAAGGTCTAGTTACTATCACCACCATTCACTTAGCTGACTGTTTTTCTACCCTCCAACTTCTACCCCTCTGTGACCACCATTCTGTTGTCATAATATAAGGTTTGTTTTTATCTTGTTTGCTTTCTTTATATTTCACATATGAATGAAATCTTACAGTATTTGTCTTTTTACTAAAAAGACATATTTTTATAAGCCAAATGAGTCTTCCCATTTCCTCCAGTTTCCTGAACCTCAGGTCTCAATCATATTCTCTTTCTGAATCTTCCTTGCATCTATTTTTTCCATACCACTTATATTTTTCCATCTGCTCGCTGAAGACAAAGAGCTTAGAAGCACCTTGGAGTGAGTCTGTTAGTCCATTTAGGATATTGTTATGATAACATTCTGCTTTGTTGCCTTCTGTAATGAAAAATTCTAACCTTTTGCTGTTCATATAAAAGTGCACTTGTTTGTCTTACTTTAGTCATCTGAAGATCTTGTTTTCACTCACACAGGAACATAATAACATTCACATTTTAATTCCCTTTACCAGAATGGGAGACCATGACCGAGAATGAGGAGATGGCATCAAAGCCTAGCATTTCTCAAAGAGCAGATTCTCAGAAAGCAGCATCAAAAAGGCTTCAAGGAAGTGATCCCCAGGCCCTTCATTTTGAGGAAGATTGTGAATGGGAAGTTTTGGCAAGTCAGTGGGGAAATGAAACAGGGGAAAGAAATGCATTGAAGAAAGTTTCCCTTGGCGAACAAGACAAGAAAAGGACTCCATCCGAAAAAAGAGGACAAAAGTGGAAGGAATTTAGAGAAAGTTTGACTTTTGGTTCAGCTCTTTCTGAAAATGTAATTGATACTGAAGGAAAGAAGTTTTATAAATGTGATATGTGTTGTAAGCATTTCAATAAAATCTCCCATCTCATAAACCATCGACGGATCCACACTGGGGAGAAACCTCATAAATGCAAGGAGTGTGGAAAAGGCTTCATTCAGCGCTCTAGCCTTCTAATGCATTTACGGAACCATTCTGGGGAGAAACCTTATAAATGTAATGAATGTGGGAAAGCCTTCTCTCAGAGTGCTTACCTTCTAAATCATCAGAGAATCCACACTGGGGAGAAACCTTATAAATGTAAAGAGTGTGGAAAGGGCTTCTACAGGCACTCTGGCCTTATTATACATCTAAGGCGACATTCTGGGGAGAGACCTTATAAATGTAATGAGTGTGGGAAAGTTTTTTCTCAAAATGCTTACCTCATTGACCATCAGAGGCTCCATAAAGGGGAAGAACCTTATAAATGTAATAAGTGTCAGAAAGCTTTCATTCTAAAGAAAAGCCTCATTCTACACCAGAGAATCCACTCTGGGGAAAAACCTTATAAATGTGATGAATGTGGAAAAACCTTTGCTCAGACCACTTATCTTATTGACCATCAGCGACTCCACAGTGCAGAGAATCCATACAAATGTAAAGAATGTGGAAAGGTTTTTATTCGAAGCAAAAGCCTCCTTTTACATCAGAGAGTCCACACGGAAAAGAAAACCTTTGGTTGTAAAAAATGTGGGAAGGTTTTCAATTCTAAGTCAAATCTCATTGACCATAAGAGGATGCATAGCAGAGAGAAACCTTATAAATGTACTGAATGTGGTAAAGCCTTCACTCAGAGTGCTTACCTTTTTGACCATCAGAGACTCCACAATGGAGAGAAGCCCTATGAATGTAATGAATGTGGGAAAGTTTTCATTCTAAAGAAGAGCCTCATTTTACATCAGAGGTTTCACACTGGAGAGAATCTCTATGAATGTAAAGACTGTGGCAAGGTCTTTGGTTCCAACAGAAATCTCATTGACCACGAGAGACTCCACAATGGGGAGAAGCCCTATGAATGTCGAGAATGTGGAAAAACCTTCATTATGAGCAAAAGTTTCATGGTCCATCAAAAACTCCATACACAGGAGAAAGCCTACAAATGTGAAGATTGTGGGAAGGCTTTTAGTTACAATTCAAGCTTGCTTGTGCATCGGAGAATCCATACTGGGGAAAAGCCCTTTGAATGCAGTGAGTGTGGAAGAGCTTTCAGTTCTAACAGAAACCTCATTGAACATAAGAGAATCCATAGTGGTGAGAAACCGTATGAGTGTAATGAATGTGGGAAATGTTTCATTCTGAAAAAAAGCCTCATTGGACATCAGAGGATTCACACAAGGGAAAAGTCATATAAATGCAATGACTGTGGGAAAGTCTTCAGTTACCGCTCAAACCTAATAGCTCATCAGAGAATCCACACTGGTGAGAAGCCCTATGCATGTAATGAGTGTGGGAAAGGCTTTACATACAACAGAAATCTTATTGAACATCAAAGAATTCACAGTGGGGAAAAAACCTATGAATGTCATATATGTAGAAAAGTTCTTACTTCTAGTAGAAATCTGATGGTACATCAAAGAATCCACACTGGAGAGAAACCGTATAAATGTAATGAGTGTGGAAAAGACTTTAGTCAGAATAAAAATCTTGTTGTACATCAGAGAATGCACACTGGGGAAAAACCATATGAATGTGAGAAGTGTAGAAAATCTTTTACTTCTAAGAGGAACTTAGTTGGCCACCAGAGAATCCACACAGGGGAGAAGCCATATGGGTGTAATGACTGTAGTAAAGTTTTTAGACAAAGAAAAAACCTTACTGTACATCAAAAAATACATACAGATGAAAAACTCTGTGAATGTAATGAGTCCGAACAAGAATTCTCTCAGACTTCAAACCTTCACCTTCAACAAAAAATCCATACTGTGGAAGAATTCTCTTGGTTCCAAAATGCCAGTGACTCCAAAATAGAGATTAAAAAACCCAGGGTCATGTAAAATGGAATAGAATTCCTGCCTACTTGAGTGACTGTTGGAGAATAGCAGTATATGATCTTACACAGAAAAAAATATGATTGGCCTCATAGACAAGTGAATTGCATGTGGGAAAAAGTTAATCTAGACTCTGAAGAGAAAAACAAACTACATTTAGTTAAAGCTGTTAAAGGATATGCTGTTCCGAATTATTTGTTATGACCCTAGAGAGAGAGTTTGGAGCAGTTGGGATCAACTTAAGAGACTGGTATTATATCTTAGAAGATACATCGATGTCGTTGTAAATGATAGCAAAATATCTTTGTTATTAAAAAGTGGGCATTGTCTGAAAATGTGTATGTTATATATTTTAAAGATAGCACCACTATAACAGAAAGTCTATATAGACAGTGTGACTAAGATGTATCAGACAGGAGTAGGGTGGGCAAGAGTCTGCTGTCTTAAGATAAATTATAGCACTGGTTTTAGAATCATAATACCTAGATTTGGTGCCAGCTTCTCTTACTAGATAAGTGATGGTACTAAATCCACCTGTAAGATTCAAGTTTCTGTCATTAAAACATTGACATAAGCCTACCTCACAGGGTTGTTGTGAGGTTTAAGTGAAAGGATCTTTGTGAAAGTACTTTGTGAAATAAGTTGTCAATAAAGTTGGATGAAAGAGCTATGTTCAGTCTAGAACATGTTTGTTCATTAAGTCAACATTAAGATTCTGTGAACCTTGAAAGATGACTCATTTTTATACAAAGAGAAAGTAGGGTGAATAGCCAACTTTGGAATTTAGTACTTTTAGAACATCTTTTAAAAATAAAAATTTAGGGGCCCTCCCTGGTGGCACAACAGGTTAACATACAGCACTATGAAGCTATCACAACCACTGCAGCACGAGTTCGATCCCCAGCCAGGGAGGTGACCCACATGGTGTGGCAGACTTCTCTGACTCACCTGCTGCTCCCCTCAGCAGTATGTTTCAGTCACTTTGTTACGCTCCCCACTCTGTCTCTGGTGAATTCTCTCACCGCCCCCCCCCAACACCTCTAGCCTGTACCCCAGTTCTATATGTAAAATAAATCTTTTAAAAAACAATATATAACTTTAAAAGTATGTAAGGAAATTAACAGATAACATGCCTAGTTCTTATGGGAAAATACTGGATTGTAGAGGAAAATCATATATTGAATCATTAGCAATTGCTGCCAAGGAAAACAGTTTATTTTTCAATCTTCAAGCCAGAAACCTAGCAACTCTGTATAATGTCAAAATAGTTCTAGATTGCTTTCCTTATTCATAGAAAATAAGGAAAAATTCTTCACCCCAAACACTGAACTGGTGATTCCTTGTCACTGTCATTCTCAATGCTAACAAACATTTTATCACTACTGAAAGACAACAGTTTGTTCACAAGAACCAACATTCACAAAAATGTTCACAAAAAACCAACAACAGGGCCCTCCCTGGTGGTGCAGCACTAAGAAGCTAAAGCCACTTCAGCAGGAGTTGGATCCCTGGCCCCAAAGGTGACCCACATGGCGCAGCAGACCTCTCCTGGCTGGCCTTTCACTCCTCTCAGCAGTGTACTTCCTCGATCTGCCTGTTCTGCTCCCCACTCTGTCTCTGGTGAATCCTCTCACTGCCCCTGCACCTCTGGCCTGTACCCCAGTTCTGTATGCATAAATAAATAAATCTTTAAAAAAAAAAACCCAACAATGATAAGTTTTTCATAGACCCAAGGTCTGAATAAACCAATTCAGAATCCACCTCTGGATAGGTATTAGTTAACATTATTCCCTGTGAACTAATCACGCAGTAAATGCCCTTTTGTACATTTGTAAATTTAATTCATCCTGTATTTTTGAGTTGATTGTTTTAATGCTGTTAACTATAAAAACTCCAATTCTGCAACTATGCTATAAATATCTTAGTGTCTGAATTATGTTTTCTAATACTGGTAGCACTGAAATGGTGTGTTGACTATCATTAATATAATTCAACTCCATTGCCCCTTGAAGGCCTATTCCTTGTTAGAGAGGTACCAAAGAATGAAAACTGGAGCACAAGACCTACTTCACAGAATTATTTAGCAGTAATGAATATGAAGATGCTTTGTTTATGCTATAGAATCACCCAAATTATGTAATAATTACAGTGGGAAAAAAAATAGACAAAGGTAGCATTTACTTTTTAACCATCTAACAAAATGTAACTTCAGTAAAACAGATATTGGGCCTCCTTGGTGGCACAAAGATTAAAGTATCAACACTATCAAACTGTAGCCAGCCACTGCAGCATGAGTTGAGTTTGGTCCCTGGCCAGGGAGCTTACCCACATGGCACAGCAGACCTCTCCTGTCTCCCTCTGCTCACCTAATGTACCATTAGGAAAAATTGAGTGAAGGTAAGTCAACATCCTATGACTATCTAAATTCAATATAAAAAGGAGGAGAAAGAGCTAAAGAACCATAACCAATACAGTACATGAACCCTACTTAGGAAAAGCAAAACTGAAATATTTTAGGATAATTGGGGAAATTTGTATATGACTGGATGTTAAATGTAGGGGCCTCCTTGGTGGTGCAAGGGATTATGTCTCAGCTCTACCTCAGCACTATGAAGCTATGGGCAGACACTGCACCATGAGTTAGATCCCAGGCCAGGGAGGTGACCCATATGGCAAAGCAGACCTCTCCTGTTTCGGGTCTGCTCACCCCAGCAGTATATTTCAGTCTGTTCTGCTCCCCACTCTATTTCTGTTGAATCCTCTCTCGCACACACACATATACCCCTCTTCTGGCCGATACCCTAGCTCTGGTATGCATAAATAAATAAA